GCTGATTTATTATCAGAGCTGGAAACTGTTGCTGCTTCATATTTTTTTGGAAATTGATACTTTTTTCAGGATTCTTTGATGAATAAAAAGTTAAAAGGAAGAGCATTTATTTAAAATAGAAATCTTTTCTGACAATATACACTACAGTTCAAAAGTTTGGGGTTGGTACATTTTTATTCTTTCTTTTTTTGAAAGAAATTAAAACTTTTATTCAGCAAGGATGTGTTAAATTGTTAAGAAGTGATAGCAAAGATTTATATTGTTAGAAAAGATTTATATTTTGAATAAATGCTGTTCTTTTTAACTTTCTATTCATCAAAGAATCCTGAAAAAAGTATCGCAGTTTCCAAAACAAATATTTGGCAGCACAACTGTTGATAATTCTAATAATAAGTCAGCCTATTAGAATGATTTCTGAAGATCATGTGACATTTTATACTGGAGTAATGATGCTGAAAATTCAGCTTTGCATCACAGAAATAAATTATATTTTAAAGGATATTAAAATAGAAACCATTATTTTATATTGTAATAACATTTAGCAAGATTACTGTTTTTTTCTGTATTTTTGATCAAATAAATGCAGCCTTGATGAGCATAAGAGACTTCTTTAAAAAACATTACAAGTCTTACTGATCCCAAAACTTTTGACCGGTAGTGTACATAATAAATATACACAGTACACATACATATATTATGCAAACAAAAACTTTTTATATATATATATATAGTTTAAGTTGAAATTGCTTTGAATATTGAATTTTGGCTTGTACAGATGTAGATACTATCACTAAACGATCCCAGAGCTCATGGTTTTAATAGGTTTATTGTTTAAAATCAATTGTCTCAACTGAGAAAATGAATGAGATTTTTACATCTGGAGCACTGATGTTCTTTCAGGATCAGTCAGGCTCTGTATTCGCAATCTAACCAGGGTTTGAGATCAGGTGCAACAACTGTCCCACTGAACAAGAGCACCGCCGCTCTAATCTATGTGCAAATAAGCAAAGCCGGTCTTTGCTCTGCTTCTATGAAAGCTCAAGAACATTATGATGTTGTACCTGTTGGGAGATTTGTAAAATCCCCTGCTCAGGTTTGCATGCATTCTGCTGTTAGTCTTTGACCTTGAGAGCAGCCGTCTGTCGAGCCGGCAGCAGTCATGCACGTCAGAGTCAGGCGGCCACTCTTCCATGCCACCTTTTCCACACTTAACTGTGTTAATACATGCGTCCCACACGTCTGTGTTCATTAAGTGAGGTTTTCTCTCGCAGCCTCACGTACAGGAACTAGTAGAAGATAACCAGGTTAACCAGAGGATAACCGTTTGCTCAGGGGTTGCTCAGGAGACTTAGGGGAGGTCTCTGTTGAGTTTTTCTTCAATAGCAACTTTGTTTCAGATGTTTCCTAAAATACCTTAAATGAAATAAAAACAGAAACAAATGCACTAAAAAAATGGTGTAGGAAATTGATAGTAAATTTCACCAGAAATAGCAGGTAATACAACATTGAATTAAATATGACATTTTGCACTCTAAAAAATGCTGGGTTAAATACAACCCAGTGCTGGGTAAAATAGGGACAAACCCAAGAAAGACTGAAATAGTATTTTCTTGTAAAACAAACTCCATAATTACAACTTTGAAAAAAAATTTTTTTGCAGTGTAATTCAGAGTACAGTGTTGTAAAAATTAATGTGGATCGCATAGTATGAATTATTTGGTCTTGAAAGAAATTGATGGGAGTTTATATTGAAATCATATTGACTTTAGTATATTTTGGCAAATCTGAGCACAGTTTAGATCTCTAAATCGGAAAAGCAGGACACTTCAGAAAAAGTATTTATTTATTGTCAATTTAATTTCAATATCGCTGTCTAGGAGAAACAATTGTAATAGTTATTATTAATTACTATTCTTTCCTATGGGCCAGTTTGAATAATATTTTTCAATGCACTGTAAAAAAAAAAAAATATATATATATATATATATTTTTGAAGTTGTAAATAAAACACATACTATTCAAGTACATTTTGCCAGGAAATACAATTTCTTTCTAGTTCAAAATTTCATGTTCCATTCAAAGTGTTTCTTGCCGTTTATTTGAAAAAATTTTCTCTCGAACATTGCTAGTAAATTTCACAAATAAAAATACAAAGTATACCCAACACCAATTTTTTTCAGTGTATTTTTAAAAAGTATTTTTTACGATAATATCTTAAATGTATTTTTATTTTTTTTCAAAGGAAGACTTTTGTTGAATTGTTGTGTTTCTGTTTTTAACAAAGCTGATTCAAGTGCAATTGCATACAGTAGAAGTTATGTTATGATGTCTTTATGTACTTTTTGAAGCTTGAACGTTTTGGTTGCGTAGTCTCAGTGGATGGACAAAAATGATGAAAGTCTTATGGGTTTGAATTGACATGAGTGTTTGTCATTTTTGAGTGAACTGTCCCTTTAATGGTTTGCATCCATTTAATACTATAATGGCCTTTGCAAAACACGTTTTGTTTTGATAGGACTGATATGAGTGGAACAAGCCTGAGTTAGCAAATTTTGGGACGTAGCCTCCATCTCACAGGAGTTTCTCAGAAGTGTGAAAACAGTGATTAAATGTGCATGTGAGGTGGATTCTGGCATCATGTTGTCCTGTGATGATGTGGGTTTCTCAGGGGAAAGCGAGGATCATGACTCTATTAAACCTGGCGCTGAGATTGATGGAACAGGTGTGAAGCAGGACATGCTGATATGCAGGTGGCCTAGTTCAAAACACTGCAAATGCTCCCAATGCCTAAAGGTCACATTCTTGCTCATTTGAGGGAACAAGCCTGAAGTTAACTGCTGTAATATCAGCTCGAACTAAAGGGTTCAAGGGCTCTAGTGTTGGGCTAGTGATTGAAGCACAGAAGTGATCTTTAAAGAATTATTTACTGAATGTCATTTCAAACCCGTTTGACTGCCTTTTTTCGTCAAACACAAACGGAGATGCTTTGAAGAATGTTCAGGCTGCTCTTTTCCATACAAAAACAAATAATGGGCCTGTTAATTAAAAAAAAAAAACAACGTTATCATTATAAATGTAGAAAAACTAAAAATTGAAGTCGTTATTTACTGAGAATCTTTAAAATGTAAAATGATGTCAGTTCCTTAAAAAAACAGCATATGAGTTTGGAATGACATGAGAGCGAATAAATAATGACATAATTTTTCATCTTTTTAGTTACTATAATAGCATCAATGTTATAGGATAGATTGTAGTTTTTATTAATATTTGAATTAGAATTCTGTTTTTATTTGAATATTAGTTAAAGTTTTAGTAATGTTATGTGTTTTCATCATTTTATTAACTATAGTTTTAGTTATTTTAGTACGTAAA